TGTACAGTTCTCAGGTCCACCTCTGTGAGCCCTCACCTCACCCCTATGCACACCTCCAACGAAAACTGCTACAAGTCCGAAGAGGCCATGTTCCTGTGCCTAACGAACGCCGCCGCCACCTCTGGCACTCCCATCGTTCCCGGCAAAGCCGGCTACATGCATCACGTGAGGAGCCACATGCTCTTCAGGAGTGCCTGTTCATGGCCCATGACGTCGAGGGCCTACCGTTTCGAAGACATGCTGGCAACTGCCACCATGCAGCACACGACGCAGTGGTGTTGTGGGGCCGACAGTGGGGGGCTGTTCTGGGAGAGCTTGCTCTCCCCGACAAGAAAGTGCAGGTGTAGCCGGGAGCGCGCGTGGTGCATCTCCTTCCTTCGTGTTGGTCGGTCAAGAAAAAATAGCTCTCCCAAAATAGCCTCCCATTGCCCGTTCAACACGACGAGGCAAACGTTTTGGGTAGCCTTCTGCTCGACGGGCGGTGCCATGGGGCTTTTCAGGGTGGCACACAGCGGCGGGGGGCGCTACTGCTGATGGAACGATTTAGGTCTTGGAGCAAGCACGGCTCGCGAAATCATGGACAACCGCCCACTGCTGTTCAGTGACAGGCCAGGCCAACATGTGGAGTGGGCAGCGCGACAGGCAGGGCAGGGACTGAGTTAAGTTGTAGACACACATCGAGAGAGATCGAACACTGGTAATGATCCAGTATGAGTAATAACGGCCCTCTTCCTCCAGAGGTATGCATATTAGCGTGGTCAAAGGTCCTGTAGTCTTGGGTCAAGCGAAACAAGACTACCCCGCCACACCGTCTACAGTCGTCAATTATTAGGAAAAGTAAACACACAGAAAGACTACCCGTTCGAGATATACCCACATTCGAACGGGATGTGGTGGAGTCTTTTCATGGCCGTCAATAATAGCACCACAGCAGTGCTACAAGTCTTTCTTTCTCTTTGGTTGGTATATCTTGGTTGTTGTGAGACTTCAGAGTCACACAACAATAGCGACTATTGACGCTGCAAAGGGCACCTGCACAAGTGGTGTACTGTTGTGGCACATGACGTTCAGATGGCAACAACTCCCAGCGACTGCGGATCGAAAACCAGCCGGGAGAGAAAGGCAAGGACGGCAGTCGGCACACGACGAGGAGAAGTGACGCCCGTGGTGTATATCCACTGTACAAGCACCAGAGGAAGAGGCTGGGAGAGACCCCAAAGCAATGCTCGTGCCCTCCAGGCCTAAACCCATGTGTTCATAATGCTGCTACTCTGTAGTTAGGTTTATGTTTGCACACGTCGCCGGCACCGCTGATGTCCCTTGCACTGCGGTATGTACCACGCCGCCGGAGTTTGGATATCAATGTGTGCCGGGGGTGAGAACGCTCACCTTGACTCCTGCGATGGATCCATCCTCGATGTCTCCGCCTGGACCCCTAGACCCAGGATCCGACTAGTCAGGCTCGCTCTCGGGATCAGCAGCACCGATCGCACCTGCCTGGTGTGCACATGGCACCCGCCTCAATAGCTGAGAGCCGGAACACCAACCGGATTAATCACGTTCCAAATCGAACATGAAGAAGCCAGTCCAGCTCGACAACAGATAGAACGCCGACGCGACAGGACCCGAGTCTTATTCGTCTATCTATGAGGGGGGTGTACGTCCGCGCTGTGCTCTACCGCTGCACCAAACTCCGTGCATGGCACCGGATCCGGGCGGGTTCCTCCGCTCAAGAGCAAGGGGTTGATTCTTCACAAAGGGCAGTGAAAAATGCAACTGTCCCCATGCGGCGCAATAGAGGTAAAAACCCTCCACAGGAAGTCGAAACCCCGTGTCGCTCAGTCGGTCCGCTTCCCATCAATCCCATCGGATCATGTCAACACATGTTACATTGTAACTACAGTGCTGTCTGCAGAAGCAGCAGTGGTCAGCGGCTAGGTATAACGGCTGGCATCTAATTACTTTTTCGTCCCCGGCACCCCGAAAAAAACGCCAGCTCTGGAGCCATGCCCAGCTTTTGGCTGCGCCGTCACTTACAAGGAACAACCCGCTCTTTTTCGAGATCCTACATCAACACAAAAGGACCACACCACCACCATGCGCTTCCGTGCTCGTCGGGGTCCGTGATCTTCCAAGCAATTGGGATCATGTGTCTTTTGGGCAGCATGCTCCTAGCCATCTGGGGGGGCGGCCCTCTTTCTGCCTGGTATGACCCCCGCACCTCACCCCATGCCGACCAACGACGACTGCTACAAGTCCGAGGGGCCATGTTCCTGTGCCTTGCCGGTGCTGACAAAGAAGAGATGATAATGCAGCAGGCGAGGAGCCAGATAGATGCTCTTCAGCGGTGGGGGGGCTGCCGATGACTTCGAGGGCCGTGCAGCTCGAAGATGTCACCACGATGCCATCTGCCGCAACTGCCCCGGATGCCCACCACGCAGTGCAACAGGTGGAACGGACTGTGGGTTGCTGCTCTGGGAGATTTTTTTCGTGAGCAGAAAAAAGACATGTCGCCCGGAGCGCTCATCGGCGAGGGGTTCGGGATGGTCGTACGAGGAATTTACACGGGCCTCACGCGTCAGATACGCAACGCATGACGCCGCATAGTCACCAGCCGCCGCCGGCTCCTCCGCCGCAGAGACCGACCCTGACGCATGGGACCTGACCTCCACCCCGAACCCTGAGGGCGCCTGGTGGGATACAAACACTGTTGAGGGCTGGCTTGATGCTGCTGCTGGGACGATGGAGTCATGGTGATCGTCTGTCTTCGATGGAGGAAGAAGCGCCTTTCCGCCCGACCCCGACGCCTCCGCTGCCGCCGCCCCAGGAGCTGGTGCCGCTTGAATCTAAGGTACGGGCATGACTCGTGCACGTGTTTTTATTATTTTTGGCAAGGTCGTCAGCTTTGTTCGTACGTGTCGTAGCAGATCTTGTTCTCTCTGTGATTTGTGGAACTCGCGGGAAAGCAAAGATCTGAACGGGTTAAAACGTCTGGTGTAAATCGTGTACTGCTGTCAGCTGTAAGATCGGGTGGGGCAAAAATAACATATCGCGATCTTGCCGTAGTGCGGTTCGCCTGTGGTATTCGACGACGCGCCCACCACCACGGTCAGGTATTCGTGGACGCAAAATATTTACGGTCCACAAGATGAAACCTGACGGACGCCCAATATCTAGCGCGCTCTCTCTACCCCCCCCCCTCCCTGCTGCCCCTTTTGCTTTCTTTGAAGGCCATGCCGTCCTACAACCGAGGTTTGAAGTCGTTCGCCGGAGAGGAGAGCAACAACAATGCCCCGATGGAGGTCTTCGTTCCTACGTTGCAAGCTGACATGGACACTCCTTTCTTGGCCTTCCTCACCAAGCTCTCTCTGGTGGCGAGGTTTGACCATGCCCGGGCGCCGCCGTCGCCTCCACCCGTGAAAGAAATATCGAGAAACAGGTAAGCGCGCGTTGTTGCTTGGCACGTTGCCCTCGGGGGTATGATTGCCCGAACGATGTTGAGAAGGTTCCCCCGGTGGACGCCTTGCGGTCGCGTTGATTGGTGCGTATAATGAGCGAGGATACCTCGAACATATTTCACTAACATGCCAATGCTGCAATAGAGTTTCAGACAGAAGGCTTACCTCTCACGACCGAAAACAACTGGAACATCACTCTTTCGAGGGATTGTGGCCGCGCCATAACAATGTGCTAAAACTCTCAACCCCTACCGTCCTTGCCATGCATAGCGTTGTGAAATGGCATTGGACAGTTTGACACGCAGCGCCGCTGCACACGCGGAAACTGTTTGAAGAGGACCTGCCCAATGCCACCCCCCTCCACCGTCATCCGCCTCGGTAATTCTTTTTCAAGGGATGGTGGTCGGAGCTCGCCGGGGAGCTGAAAAACGAGATCGCCGACCCGACCTGAGCCCCCACTTCGTCCCCGGCCTCGCTGCCCCGATAAGGTGAACTACGCAGGGGTGCCGCAGTTTGACCGCCGGGTGTAGCTCTCGCACTGTAGCAGTGCTGTTCCTCTGCTGTGGTGGTCACGTGCTGTGATTTGCGTTTTTTTCTCCGGCTACCGTCTTAGAGAGCTCGTCGTTACTCACCACGAGTTGTTTTGTCGCGGCAATGAAGGGTGGCAAGGCACCACAAGGGAGGACATCGTAACAGGCAGATGCCCTTGAGGCTCACCTTAACACCGCCCGACGGAACAAAATTTCTGTTACGCACAACCATAGGATTTCCATTGTTCTCACAGCGCTGCACGTTGTCGACACCCCCCTCCCTCCCTCCCTCGTACCATCTACGTCATTCATGTTTGTTTGCAGCCCCCCGCCTCTCAGTCGGTCCTGAAGCGCCCGTGGTCAGCAGCGAAGAAACCATTTGCGACGACAAAGGCCCGCGTCCTGCAGGGGTATGGGGTGGTCTCGTCACACTCTTCCCTTCGACACCACGACCTACATATCACGCGGGGGTGTCTTAACAAACGCATCTACTCGTTGTGCAGTGTAAATATTACCTTGATCATTGAGACGGAGAGCAGGGTTCCCCATTACTAGTCGGAGGAATGAGTGGAAAATAGGGAAAGCGAGATACATAGCCAAAGCATCCACATTTTGCGAGGGTTCATACAATCCGTCTGGAACTGTTAAGTTATTTTCTCTTTGGAGCTCAAGAGCGCGTCGGGGTTAATATTTGCGTTTGCTGCCGTAGTGTCGTGGGATCGCTTTTTTTGCTCTTCCGGTGCGTTGCTGATGTGAATTTTCTAGCTGACCTGATTTTTTTCGAAGGCCTGCCTGTCTTTGGAGGGGTTTGGGGGCATGCTGTACGCGCATCGCCCCAGTGTTGCTGTCGCGATCACGTGGTCTCCTTCCGTATCCTTTCCGGAAAACGTCGCGTAAACTACGGGCACAGGTTTTACGCTGTATCAACTATACTTTGACGTTGATCGCTCGCGTCACGTTGATGTTTTGTTTGAAGCGTGCAGGGACAATGCGCCCCTTCCCTGCTTGCAACGCGGACGAGGGTATTGCAACACGGTACACGGGGGAGATACAACATTAGCGCATACATACACGCGGGGGGGCGCTTGCGTGGACGACATTCATACGAGGCCTGGGTGTGTACGACAAGATCGCCGCGGAAACGCGGAGAAGGAACACTCCCTCAAGGCTTGGGTTGCAGAAGTGTCCTTCATCCATGTTTTCAGGCAACTCTGGCGAACGTCTGCCTGATCGCTCACCTCCACCGTGTGTGTGTTGTCAATTCATGTCAACCCTCTCTCCGTGTGCAGTGGTTTGGTGCTTTGGGAGGCCGATTGTTGGAAATCGACTTCCTACATTGGACGCCACGTGTCCGCCGTCCGGCGACAAGGTGGCAGTACTATAGCGAACCTGATGAATGAAATCACAAAACTCACACCAGGGACTGCCCCAGACCCCAGAGAAGTGCAACGAAAACACTTCTTTGAAGACGGGGTATGTGTGGGCGTTCATCTGACAAACAGACAGCCATCGAACGCTTGAGAAAGTGCTTGGAAGCAAGCCTCCGCGTATTTTGTTGTCCAACACCTCATACCGATGCTATTTCTGGCGCGCAACGAAACGACAGTGTTGGTTCTAGTCTAGCGCACTTTCCACAACACGCCGTCCGCTCTCCCTGCAGCATCCTAAAATACCAACCTGTCTGAAAGCCTGCAAGGGGGCAGTTTTTCTCGGGCGCGGGATACCAAACGTGGGATTGACCCCATCACCGCCTGCGGCAAAAAAAAAAAGAAGAGGGGCCACCAACGCAGAAAAACACTGCCAACAATAAAGAGGTCGCCATTCACGCCCCAATTCTATGGGCGGCAAGATAAATATTTAGGACGGCCACGGGCAGTTGCATCCCAAGGGCGGCTACACCGACGATCATCGGCTCCAACATTCTATCGACTTCCCAGCATGAACACTATGAAAATCTCCGTCTACCGCACCGTGTAAAATCACAAGACGCACAGACATCACGAAAACGCCTGCACGACCAGCCGAACGAATCTAAATGGGTGGCCGCTGGCCATACGGCTGGCGAAGCGCTAACACCCCGCGGTCAAAGTCGCGTGCGGCATGAAACGTCTTCTTCGTTCAAAAGTTTAATTTGCTACTTCTTCTAAATCCTCACACAAGTCTGTTCGAAAAAGAAGCGACACAGGAAAAAATGAGTGAAATAAACCAGCGTGTGATGATGATAGTCCCGCTCCTTCTGACACGCGGCCCCGTGATTTCCCGTTCCAAGCCTCACGAGGCCGGGAGCGAGCGATCGCATGTCCGCCAAAGCTTCGTCAGCAGCCGCTGGACAAGCAAAAAGCATGCGAGTCTGTCGCATTGACGCCCTTCCCGTGCCCGCCAAGCAAGCGTCCACACAACAACAGCAAAAACAACCAACTTTGTATGACGACGCTGGACTAGAGCCGACCTGGGTGCCATGAAATTCTAGCTGCCCATTGGCTACAGCCTGAGCACTCGAAGTCGTCCTGGGTGCCTTGAAATCCAAGCCCCTTTTCACCACAGCCGGAACATTGACTCCCGTGACAACCAGCACGCGCGTCGAGCAAGGCACAGCCTCCCAAGGGTCTGAGGACCATTACCACCAAGCCCCCCCGGGGACCACAAAACTACACGGCCGGAAGGAACCAACCGAAACGGTGTTTGCTACGCTACGCGCTTGACTGAGAGTCGGCGATGTTCCACACGGTGACCTCGTCGCGAACGTTGCAGATCCGCGCGGAGCGCACCCTTACGGTGATGATGGCGATGTTGGGGCCTGTTCACCACCGGCGGGGGGTATCGACGACAAGCGTTGGACCGACGATCAATGAGAGTTGAAAAGGAGTCAAAATGAAAGAGCTACGATGTCATTTGACTGCCATAACGAGGAGCTGGAAAGAAAAGAATCGGCGGGGCCAATGCGCGAGCGAAACAAAACAGTGGCCGAACGATACGCAATACCATAAGTGATAGCTATGATTAATGTCGCCCTTGTGTAGGATGCATATTTCGCAGACTTCAGCAGAAAAGCTAACACTTGTGGCGATCGGCAATATTTCACAAAGACCACTGCAAGCAAGTGCCGCTAAAGTCCCGACCTCAGGCGGCCTGTCGGGGGACAAGTAGCCTTGCTAGCGGCACGAGAAAATAGTCGCCAACACCAAATCAACGAACTGGGGGGGTGTCTCACCGAAGATGAAGGTCTTGGAGTTGGGGTTTTTCCTGGCGTGGAGGTCTCTGTACCGCTCTGCCTGCTCCCCTTCCTAGAGAGCGACACCAAGATGAAGCACGACAGACCAAGCCATTGAAGGGGGACAGGGGGCGTGAAGGCGGCAGCGACTCCTCACGCAACAGGCGGCGACTTTCAAGCAACACGCGGCGACGACGCAAAAGAACGACAGCGGCACGAACAGAGATATCAACCTGTGTGTCGGACGATGTCCACACAACATGGATCACGAGAAGATGTGCGTCGAGTTGTCGAGAGAACGGCTCTCTGTGTACCTCTCCTTTACAGCTGTCTCTCGGCAAACACAATATGACGTTTCGATACTGGATACCACATGACTGCTCTCGCCGCGGTACCGCCGCCCCCCGAAGCCCCCCCCCCCCACACACAGAATCCTCCCATCTCCCCGCCCTTCGTTCCCCCAGTGGCCCTGTCCTCACCTGAATCGTTGCCGTCCCGTTGAGTGTGATGGTCACCTTGCTGCCGCTACCGCCGCTACCGCCCCCGCCCCCGCCCCCGCCCCCGCCCCCGCCGCCGGAGCTGCCGCCTGCGTCGGGGAACTCGTGAACCAAGAGTGCTACGTTACGCCCCTGCTCCGAGAGAGAGAGAGAGAGAGAGAGAGAGCGAAAGGGGACCAAGATCACCGGAGGAAGAGGCCAGTTGCGTTACGTGCCTGCTCGGAGAGTCGGTAAAAAAAAAGCCAAGGGGCTCAAGATACCGCGGGAAGAAGATGTAAAACGACAGCAGGGGGCAAGCTAACACCGGACGGCGGACCGAGCAGTTCGAGCAAGTGCTAAAACACCTCCGCCAGCTCTACACGGAGGAGGTGCGCTTGTAACCCACTAAAATAGCGCGGAATGACGAGACGGTCGAGCAGGATGAATGTGGCGTTGATGCAGCACTCCGAGAACCGGCCCATGGAAAAATAATGGTAAAGTTTGTCCCCCATTGCCCTACACGTGACCCGCGCATGAACCAAGTCTGGGGCGTGACCGACACGGCATCAGAGTCCTGAGCGTTTGCGACTTAAGAAAAAAAGGGCGATCTGAAGCAGTTCTCACACAACACCAGAAAAAAAAACAAAGCAGAAAGGAAACCGCAGCGGTAAGACAGCGACCGCCCGAGTCATTTACTTACCGTCTGCACCAGCTGGAATTTTTTTGTGTCTCGTCGCGTGGACAGAATTATCACCTCGTCGGCTGAGGTGGTTTCGTAGCACGTGTACCAGTATGTTGTTTCACGTAGGCCGTGAACGGAACAAAACAAATAGTTAGAGACGGGTGGTCAGTTGTGCCAGAGGTAGCAATCGGGGTGGCCGTAGCGGGAGCGGAAGAAGCAGGGGGGGAGGAGAGCGGCGGAGCGCAAGGACGCAGTGCTAACAACAATCATCGTCCGGAGGGACAGCGGCGAATCACCCAGAAGAAAGTTTTTTCAGCAACTGAAGCGCTACCAAGAGAAACTCCCGAAAAACAGAAAAGTAGCCACTCTTCCGATGGAAATATCCCATTGGGACATGAGCAAAAAGGCAACGTTCGCTTACTGTGGTGGTAGGTGAAGTTCATGAGCGACAGGTGAGGGTGGTCGTTGCTGAAGGTGGACAAGAAGCACAGCCGCGATGCCTGCAGCAGCCTTACCACCTGCCGAGAAACAAGGACAAAAAAATGGGGCTCAAAGGGGTGCGAGCGACACACGACTGGGATACAGCAGACCCAGAGTTGTCGTACCAGCTAAATAATAGCTGTACTCACCCAATGGTGTGCCTCAAATACACGCGGGTGTCATCATCGCTTGCAAGTGAACGTCCGCGAACCCGGGCAATCTCTCGAATCCTTTCATTATTCATGGCTACTGCTGTCTCCGAAAGCACCGTCGACGCTATTCGCCCTGAGCAGTCGGAACAGAAATAGGCCGAACCAAATCGAGCGCAGAAAGAGTCGTGCTGATAAGGACCACATCTAAAGCCAGAGACGACGTGAAGCGCGGCGAGCGGGGCGCGCGCCAAGGAGGAGATGCGAGCAAAGCGCAGCGGGCGCGAGAGACACGCACATCGTCAGGGAGGGGTGGCGTCATGTCTGCTTGGTGCCACGACCCCGCGGGCAGGCGCTTTCCGGCCGCAACAGCCCCTGCTAGCCCTTCCGTTGGCGGGCGGGGCGGCCCATCGCCGCTCTCCACACGCCAAGCCGCACTGCTGTCCGCCACTGCTGCTGCCGTCCGTCGCAAGAGAGACGAGCGTCAGGATTGGGTGGAGACGGGGCATGAGGGGGCCCACGGGGGGGGGGGGTGGATACCTCGTGAGGAGCATGTGTTCCTGCGGTTGGTAGGGCAAACGCGTGTGTGAGCAATCCTGAAAATCTCTAGCATGAAGGACGACATCTTCTCCCAAAAAGAAGTTGATGATATCTGGCGGGTAAGAAGCAAGCCGCCGAAGGGGCTCCTGTCGTTAGATGCTTCACGTTTTACAGGCACACAGCAGTTTTCAAGGCTAATACACGGTATAAGCTGGACCTTCGAACCCCACGGCAGACCGCCCCTCCCCCCCCCCCCGACTAAAAGCAGGAAACACACAACAATGCTTGACACCGCTGCTGCTTCAGGGCGAATAAATTCGCCGTTACTACATACCCGCATTCCGCTACATCCCGCCATGTGGGCCTACCTGCTGTTCCTGCCACCTTCGAGCTTCGTTCTCGCCACCATAGGACGGCCATGAGACCACCCACGCCGACCACTACCCCCGCTGCGACAGCTGCAGCAATCACTTCCGCCCCGGGACCGCCCGTCGCTGCCGCTGGTCCCCCTGCCTCCCTTGGGCGAAACTGCCCGCCCACCATCTCTCTTTCTTTGAAAATCAATCAGAAAATTACAAAACAAATTTCTTCGACTTTCCGTGCGGCAGAAAAAAATGGACCGACCATAAGACTGGGGGCGCCTGGACTCAGAACTACTCGCGGTCTCAGCCTTTAGGCACTCACCCTCTGGTGTTCGTCACCTATTACTGTCTGCGGAAACGCAACGAAAGCGCGGGTTGGTAGGTGTGGGGGGCAGGGATGGGGTAGGCTTGAGCGTGTGCTCGGGCTCTTTGAAAAAGAAAAAAGAGCGGGAGGTGTGCATGTAGACGATTCCGCAGTCGGACTGGTGTGCGGCGTACAGCTGCGTTGGACGAGAACAACCGCCGGCTGCTGTGACAGAGCTTACCTCATCGTATTCCAGGGCAACCAGAACAACGGAGTCCTATGGGAAGAGCAGCAAAATAACATGAACAGCGAGTGTGAACCCCAGCTTGTTGCTGTGCAAACGCCCGACCACACCCAATATTATTACCCCGCTCTCCGACCACAACTCTATCAACAGGCAATGTACACATGGAACATCGCGTGCGTTTGTGGTTGGTGTTAGGCCTGCCAGGTCAACCAACCCAAACACACGTCGCCCTGGGGGAAAGAAACGGACAGTATTGGTGGAGAGCGGCACGGCAGCTACTATTTACACACAGACCACGGCGGATATGCTGCAGGGTTTGCGATTCAAATTCAAACGCGGCGCGCTCATACACAAAATCAGAGGCAGTTAGCAGAGCACCAACTTTGGACGTTAACTTGCGACCCTCGCACACACGCATCCATGCTTTGAGTAGGAGCGAAAGCAAGCTTAGCCCGACATCACTTGTGTAGGCACGCGATTTGCGCGTAAGGAATTCACCTGAGGTGCGCTGACACAGAGCACGTTGGTTGGTTGGTGTCTCATGCCTTGTGCGTGTGGGACAAAACCTGCTGTGATCGCGAGCGGCTCCGTGAATCATGAACCACCCTCTCTTGCTCGAAAAACATGAGTCCACACTACTGGCGGTATGGCCCACCGGCGCAACGCATGGCGTTAGGGAACCTCTGCATTACGGGACCTTTGACGCGAACAGTGGAGAACCTCTGCATTGGGGAACCTCGCTACCCACCAACGTCGGGGGAACGTTGCATTAGGGAACCTCAACCTGAAATTGGCAGGGGAACCCAAATGGAGATACGATTTCGTACGTATAATAGCCTCTCTCTGTGGTGGTATCTTTGTACATTTGTTAGAATCTCAGGTCGCTCCAAGAGTAGATGGATGACGCCGCTTTGCAACGCCGGCCCTCGACAATCTGCAAAGAGGAGTGTCGTTTGTTTGCTATGTTTACATGAAAAAAAACATGGAAGAACGGGTAGTCTTTCTGTGAGGTTATATATTTACTTTCCAAAAAACATGGAAGAAAAATCTAAAATCTACGTATTGATCTTGCCAGGATGTTGGGGGGCGGGGGGAGTGTTACTCGGGTAGAACAGGCTTGTCCGCCCTTGCTCTTTGTACTCTAGAACTAAATGAAACGATCGGCTCGACGTCTATTTTTGAACGTGGTGGAAAATAGAAAGAAGTATGTAGTACACGAACCTTGCTGGAGGGGCAAGCGACCAAGGGCGTGCAACCTGCAATATATACCACCCATTTCACACGTGGGCCGTTCACAGCCCCAATTCTTGCCCAAAAATATGACATTGGTTCCGGAATAAATTAAATCGCTTGTAGAGAACAGGTGGGCAAGAGCCTCTTCCACACACTTGATATCGGTGTGGGAAACGCGGGGGGGGGGGGGGGGAAAAAAAAAAACCCCCAAATCCGGCCCAAAGGCTTTGGGCTCCCCATTTCCAAACACCCATTTTGGGGGACCCTCTTTTGGGGCAAAAGGGGGGCCCCCCCTTTATTGGGAAAACAAAAGGGTTGATGTTTTCCCCAAACCCTTTCCCCGACTGGAGAAACCCCATTGCCCCCGCCGGGAAAACGAATTTTCTGCCCGGGGGGGCGAACCATTTTTTTTGACCCCCGAAAGGGGGCCCCCCCACTGGGCCCAAAAACCAAAATTTTTTAGGGACAGTACTGGGGGGAAAC